GAATCACCCTGCAGGTCAAAATTTCTCTCCCCACTTTCTATCACTTCAACTTCACTCGTTTTTATCCCGCTCTCTTTGTTTTTCCACATCATCAACCCCTCACTTCTCCACTGTCAAATACTTCCCTTCACATAACACAGACAAGCAGAGGCAAAGACTGGGTGAATTTACATGCACAAAAAACAAGATAAATTCAAAATGTATACGTCAAAAACACAAGCTGTTCTCCCTCTCTTTTCCTGAAACCTTTATGACACAAAGCAGAACATCACAAGTTACTGTATTATTCTTCTGCATTTACAAGTAGATCCCTGCAGGTGGCCAGACTGCTTCCCCGTGTATAATCAACTAGCTTGGCAGGGTTGTGTCCACACAGAAGAGAAGAACTTGCCCAAGCAATAAAAACCAAGCCATAAGTACTCAAATCGAAGAGGTGTGTTTGTGCATCAGTCAGCACAGCGTGCCAAAGAAAACAGAGTCATGATGCTGCAAGTTTCACTATGAACTCATGATTTAGTTTTTGTTGTATTCCGTTGCTGACATGACAGAAATGAAAAAAAAGAAATGAAATGAAAAGAAAAGAAAACAAGAAAACGGCAGCTATATGGTAGATGGTAGTGGAGCCAAACTGGCTCCAAACAGGTGCCATGAAAACAGTATAAGTGTGCATTAGGAGGTCTGGAGAGATTTCTGAAAGTAACCCCTTTCCTATTTTTGAAAAGGGCGGTTGGAAAAATTTAACCATAAGCAACAGATGAGCAACACAAAAAGCAAATCCCATAATGAGAGGCACTGAATAGCTTAATTGTCATTCTCATTGTATCCACAGCAATACCTGAAGCATTTTAAAGCAGAAAGGGCTATGATGCCTTTCAGTTGGCATGGCATTACCTCTTCCCAGCTGGAACACAGCAAGAAGCTCTATAGAAAAGCAAGAATACGGTTTTGAAGCCAAAACTAATCTTAGATTATCTATCCAATTTACAGACTGTGTAAGAAAAAACATACCATGTACCTGAGACAACAACATAAATAAAAGACACCTGCACATTGGATTTACATCTTTTCCTCAACTGGTGTCAGACGTAATGGTGCGTTCCATTTGACGTGGGAAGTCGGAATTTCCGAGTACAAAGTCGGAAATTTCAAAGGGAACGCTCCCTTAAATCGGATTTCCGACTTGGAAAGTAGGGAGAACCGCACTACCTCGATGCGAAATGGCGAGTAGCAACAGTTAGTGAAAGCTGTAGTTTATACTGTTTATTAGCACTTCTGTGTACTTGTGTCTCATAAATTTTCATACACAAAGTGCTGTCTGTGGATGTGTTGCTACTGTGTTTAGTATAAGTAAATACCACACAATGCATTTTTATCAACCGGCGTAACAATGGCTAACCTGGCTAGTTGTAAACAACGGCTGGCCAAGCGAGATTTTCCGACTTCTTAACTGGAGCACCGTGAACTTGGGTGTGATGTCATTCCCAGCTCCGACCTCCAACTTCTGAGGTAAATGGAACACACCATAAGCTGAACAATATGTAGCTCAGGTTTAAAAACTGTTGAATAAGAGATTAAATATTCAAGGGTGCAGAGATACTTTTTGCACTTCTAAAACTTTGCGTGTTGGCAGGACTTTGGTTACAACACTCCAGAGGAGGAGGCTGTATCCACTGAAAGGCTTTGGAATAAAGGCATTATCAGTGACTACAGGAGGTGTGAAGGAGCGCCAGCAGTTTCAAAAGTGAGTTTGCCTTTGAAGGAGTTGTGCGGATTTATTAGGTAAAAAAACACAAAGTGAGGAAGCTCACAGTTTGTTGCTGACACAGCATCACAGAAGAAAACAATAGATCACTTTGAGCGCTACGTGGTGATGTGAAATGCCTCCCTGCAGGTATAGATGTTAAATTCATGAACAAGGATGAAATAGATTGTTATCATATCCAAGGATGAGAAAGAAGTCAAGTGGACAGGCTGGACTTTGAAGGTAATGCAGATAGATGGAAACTGGATGATATGCTGCTATAATCAGGATGAGGATTAAACAGCGGCTCCATGTCAAGAGTTGGTACAAATCTGACTTTCTGAATTCAAGGCAGAATTCTTTTGTTGCCTCCACTGCTGTCAACTCCAGATGAGGCGAGAGGCATTGGCGGGTGGCTTTGCATCTCATCCTCCCCAGAAATGTTACGCAACCAGTAAACAAAATATACAGTTTCTACTATGGCTAGTTGGATCCAACTTTTCAATCCTTTGTCAGAAAAGTTCATTGGTATGCATTCATGTGTGTTTATGTATGTATGCATTAATGTTCACACACGTCTGCTCCATACTTGTGTCCATGCATACTTATTAGTGCAATTATGCATGTATGAAGGTATGGGTGCATGCAGCGAGTGACTGGTCAGTAGAGAATAGAGTCTGGATGATGGGGGATGGTGATGGGCGTGCAGTCTGGGGGTTAACTGGTGGGGGGATGGGGTTAACAGAGTGGTGGATGGAGGAGGCTTATGGTGCATAAAGGGTATTTTACTGGTATGAGCAATAATAGTGTTTTAAGAGCTTTGCACCTGTTCTGTGAGGTTCACCCACAAGCACCTGTCAGGTTAGAAATAAGGTGACACTGGCACGTTAATTAAAGAGCTGCAGCAAAGGTTTCTTGCCGTCAGCATAGTTTATAACCATGTGGTGTGTTGCACACATTCAGTCACGGGATTCTTGGGCTTGGCACTGTGTTGTAAAAAAATATATATTGTGAATACAAATAGAATAAAAAGTGAGACTATCCATTCAACTGCTCGGAAACTTAATTTAAAAATGCCACCACTTCATAGTCAACAAGAAAGTAACTGTAAATCCTGCACAGGATTTGCTGTGTGTACAAGCTAAATCCTTACCGCACTCTCCCTCTGTGCAGCATATGTTGTACAGGTTTACACTTCACTGCACAACACTGTCTGTCCCTCTGTCTTTTTGCCTTCTCAGACATAGAAATAGAAAAGGAGTTTACAGAAGCTACCGCTGAGGATGACTTCAACAGTAACACATTAATTAAACATTGCCAGAGTTGCACAGTGTGCCAGAGAACCTCTTCTCCAAATAAAACACTAAAAAGTTGATCAGCTAATATTGTTAACCAATCAGTGCTCCAACGCTACAAGGATGCCAGTGCAGAGACACAGATCTGACTCTGCGCAGGCCAACCAGCCTCATCTGCCTACCCACGCACATACAATAAGCTACACAAGGGAAAGAAATTGACACAGAGTGAAGGCCACTCTCTAATATAATGGCATGTAATTTTGTCATAATCATCAAATGGTGAGTTGACAGTAGTCTCAGCTTAAAAGGCTTTCATGAGGAGTGTTTTCACTCAAACCCTAAATGTGTCAGAAGCTCTGTCTGATGAAAAACACACACACACAGGGGGTAATACAACCTCACTGACAATTTCCTATTTCATTCATAAAAGAAATACAGACAAAATAAAGCCTGACAGAGTAATGGTTTTCTCCAAACATCACGTGTGTGTGTGTGTGTGTTAATCATGTGTGTGTGTGTGTGTGTGTGTGTGTGTGTGTGTGTGTTAATCATGTGTGTGTGTGTGTAGCAGTGACACATAAATGTTTTAGGTGCAAAGATGTTCCAAATGACCGGCTTTCTTTGGCATGCCTGAGGACTCGTCCTGCTGGCCTCAGAGACAGGGTAACAATGGCAACACCTCCAGACTAACACACAGACGAACCACAAGGCGGTTGTACACAACAGGTCTGTGTGTTTGGGTGTTTGTGGGAGAAAGAGACAGAAACAAACAAAGACAGAAAGACGTGTGAGGAAAAATACAGGGTATGCACTGAATGTATGCATGCATGTGTGGGGAGGGGCAAGAATTCCTCCCGAGCCACAATTAACCAAGACACAAAAGAACATAGCTGCATGGCACACATGCAGAGCTTGGATTCAGCTCTGGCACAACTTCAGTGGTTTCAGGACGACCATTCTTCCAAAATATAGGCCACTGGCTTGCAGTCAGAAAGGAAAGTGGAATTCTATTATTTCAGCATAAAACAACATATCCCAGATACCTGTCAGAGGTTTGTGCACTAGGCGGATGCACTACGCAATCTGTCTCTCAGCTGGACAGCTTTTTATTTGAAGATGACAGGAAAATGGTTCCATCCAGTCAACACTTATTTAAAAAAACATGCTTGTTGAGCTTTCTATGTATGTAGTAGGGATAAAATCACCTGCACATACTCTGGGCCTGAGCCACACACACACACACACACACACACATGCCTAATCCCCACTCAAAATATGATTTTATGTTTGCCTCTTTATAACTCTGAAAGCTTTTATGGTTCCCTAAATATAAGGCACTGTCCTGCACAATGAGCAAATAGATTTTTTTTAAAAGCTAGAATGCTAATAGAATAGCAAAACCACCATGAAAATAATAAGAAATTATGAGAGGAGAGAAACCTAGGGGCAGATATGGGTTGCAGTCTGGTTCATAACTGTTAAACATTATGAGGAAATACAGCTCATTAAGATAAAGGAGCTTCAATACACTCTAGTCAAGAGCAGACCATTCTTCAAGCTCTAATGGATAGCTGATGGGAGCAGATCCAGGTATTGTCTCTTGATTAGATTAATTATTTAAATTTAATCCGTTTTTAAACTTTTTTCATGGATAGAAAAACTACTAAATGGACTAGGCCTATCTAAGATCATATGAATACAATGGGATGCTTTTATGTTTTAGTGCAGATTTTAACACCGTTAATTGTTATGGGTGGGTGGCACTGGGAAAAAAAGGTAATGGAAGGGAGGAGTTCTGGTGACCTATTATCTATTTTTTGAATACAATTTTGTTCTATTTTGATACATTTTTAACTAATTATTTCCATTTATTGTTATAACTGCACAACACCTTAATCGTAGCGGGTCTTTTTCACAGTTAACAGACCTCGTTTAATGTCTCCACTGATTTTAACACTTACGACAGTTTTCTTCATCACTGTTGTCTGAGCAGTCGTCATCGTCATCGCACCTCCAGATGGTCGGTATACACCTTTTGTTGTTGCACTGAAACTGTCCATCCTCACACTCATCCGTTGCTGGGGGAAAAAATAAAAAGAGGGGAGAAGAGCGTCCAGATGGATCAGCAACAAACGGATATAGTGGAGTAGTAACCGCTAGTAGTTCAACTGTCATTTGCAAATGAATGCCTAATTGATATTCAGCATTCATTCAGGTCAATTGGCTGAGGCGATGGGAGCGTCGTGGTCTGTTTTCTTTCAGTTATTGATCTACTTTTTCCAACATTGTTAAAAACTCTTCGGGGGAAAGAGGGGAATGGCAGCAGAGGAGGGACATAATTCTCCCCAACATGAAGACAAAGATTCAGTCTGGGCTACTACTACCTGATGCAGTAGCCTATGGATGCTCACAGCCAAGAAGCACATGACAGATACGCAGAGCCCCCCCCCCCCCCCCCCCCCCAGTAATTGCTTGAACGACCAAGATATTAAACATTCAAATTCAATAAGCCAAATTCTGATGTATTAATGAGAGAGAAAAGTGATTTTATTTTTGGTCTTTTCTCTCTTGGCACAGGCAGCGCTTCCAGTCTCTCACCTCTACAGCCCATCTTACACACACACAGACACACACACACACTACGGTTTATATTTTATTTCACTAACGTCTCATACGCAGGAAAACAAAAACAACACCACTGACCTTCCGAGAAATGAAGCCTCAAGACTAACGAATGAAAAAGTAGCAACGTCCTTATATCCGTCCACATTTCTGAAGGAGGTGATGGAGCTCATTCACATCCACAAAACAAAGCCCGAAAGCCGCTCTTGTTGTAGCGCCGCTGCGACGCTGCTGCTTGCCTCTACGCTGTGAACCCCCCCCCGTCCCTCCACCTCACTGGCTAACCGGCGCATGACGTCAGCGCGTGGGGCGGGGAGAAGAGTAGAAGAGAGCAATTGTAGTAGACTGTTTGTTCTCCCTTTCCTTCTAATTATGATGATTTCATAATGCTATTCTGTTAGGCTATATGAGATTGAACATTTATTCTTAATATTGAAATAAGTAGTTGATAAAAAAAAGGTCTCTTTGGTAGCTGTTCCATAGCTTTCGATCAGTAGTATGCTAACAGCAACTTAAAGGACCTGGGTCAGATATATCTGTCAACTAGTCTGTTTCAACATCTATAATAAAATAGCATAGGAAAATATCGTGCTAATTGTATGTTGCTGGTGAGGGACTGAGCAAAGAATTGAGTTGCAACAAACTGTTGTCTTTATTATTATAGAGAATTTATAAATTATATTAAATTATATTCAAGAACATTCAAAGAGAGGAGAGGAGCAGCAAGAGAGGAAAACAATAAAACAATATCACAGCTCAAACAATTTTCTGCCATTAAAAAAACACAGAGAAGTCTAACTTGTGTCATTACACAGGCCACAAATATTACACATAGTTATAGGTTATTATGGCCAGGTGGGTTACTATATACTATATATAGCACATACTAGAATATGTGCTGGGATGATTTGAACCACATAAAAAAAAGCTTAATAAGACACAAATTCAGTTCAATGATACACATTTCTGTTTATAAAACTGCCCTGACATTGTGATATTCTAATCTATATTAATATAGGTTCAACCTTAAATTGTAACACATTTCCTATATTACTCTGTTGGACATTAATTGCAAATCCCAGAGTAACACAATACACAAAGAGCTAACCAGAAATGTCTGGAATACCTAAAGGCGCTGCACACCCACACAGGTGTTTTCAATTACCGGTGCTGATTAGACCTCTTGTCAGGTTGATGTTTGAGTATTCAATGATGTCACCAAACTAACTAAAAACAATGATAAAGGTTTGATTTGTCACACCAGGTGCAATAAAACTAACAGGAGAGTGAGGGAGCTGTCAGTGAAGCACAGTTTGTACACCCCACACAGAGAAGGTCTGGTAGGTCTCTTCACAGCAGGCATTTTGACTTGTCCCCTTCAGCCATCATTAAAACCTGTGTGGGTGGATTGGTTGGAAGGGTATATTTAAAACACAGCCCCCACCACAGAGCACCTTTCAATGACACGACCGGTGATAATGGTGAAGAAGATCTGAAGCAACATGCTGTCACTTCTCACACAGAATCATGAAAGCAAAAACAGTTTTAAAGATTTAATAGCTAGCAATCCTCTTATACCTATTCAAGCAACGCATGCACCTGATTGGTGTAATCCAAGTCTGTGTTTGCACTGTTGTGCTCATAGTATAGGTGTAATATTAAAGTCATGGCACTGAGGAAAATATCATGATAGTAAGGGTCTGTTGTCATGGTTGCATGGTAACCATCCAATAAGAATGAGGCAGCAGGAGAAGACGGAAGGGAAAAAACACAGCAGTTGTTGAACAGGTGTTCAAATCTGTTACAGAAATTATTGTCTGAAAATCAGCATGTTAGCACTATCAGCCAATGTGATATTAGCTCGCTCCAGACCTCCCAGTAACAAATTCTGATTATGAGCTGTGACCACAGTGTTTAGCTATACAGGAAAATATCCCAACACAAACAGCCGCCTAATTTTCGAAGAAAAAAAAATCCATGTCTCTTCAAGATAAAGTCCTCATTATTGGAAGCTGTCAGGCAGATGTCTTGAGAATCACAGAGTAATGCACTTTTTAGTTTTGATTTGTATCTCCTTGGTGCCTCAATCATGCAATATAGGCTTAATATATAACATGTACAGACAACAGCTGCTCATAGAAATAGCTCATATACTGGTAGGTTTTTCTACTTCGGAAGACAATTATAATAAGGTGTTTATATGTGATATGCATGCAGGTTTTTCTTAACCTCGGGACTCGGGATTTTATTTCAAAACCAGTCAAGACCATAACTTTGGGAATATCAATTAATTGCTTTTGCATTGTCTGATTTATTTGTTAAAATCCTAACTTTGAATGAATGAAAAATGTATTTCTTCAAATCCAACCAATAACCCTAATTAAAAATGTGTTGTTACTGTTAACGTTGATTTCAGCTCTTGGTGTTTGTGTGTGGGTGTTTTAATAGGAATGTGGATCTTACACAAATGCATTGTCCAGCATTTATACAGACAACCCCCTTTTTCAAGAAAGTTGTGTGTGTGTGTGTGTGTGTGTGTGTGTGTGTGTGTGTGTGTGTGTGTGTGTGTGTGTGTGTGCGTGTGTGTGTGTGTGTGTGTGTGTTTGTGTGTGTGCGTGCGTGTGTGTGTGTGTGTGTGTGAGAGAGAGAGAGAGAGAGAGAGAGAAGAGAGAGAGGGGTCCTTGGGTTGTCCATGTCACACCCACTGAGCCAGTGAAACCAATTTTAGAGCATGACAGACATGTAGTGTTACAGTGCTAGGGACTAGCAGGAGCAGATAGGAGGGGATCAGGAGGTCAAGCAATTTTGTGTCCCTGTGGTGTTTTTGTGTTCAGTTTGGGGGGAGTAAAGGTTTGAAAACCTTTATTAAGTACCTAGCTAGAAGCCTACTCAGAGATGTGGCAGTGTATAACTCAGGCAACACAATCTTTCTGAAATTTAACAAGAGATTAAAAGAAAGTAGGCTATGTTGGATGCAGAGCACAGGGAGGTAAAAGATGCAGGTCAGCATGGCGTCAATGAGGCAAAAACTAGCGCTCAGGGCTCCACCTGTTTCAGCATCTGCAAAAGTCTCTCGTACAGTACCGTATCCTGTTCAACAACCCCATTATTAAAATACCCCCGCATGCAATAACGTGATGTGATTCTCATTTATATGCAAATTATGCGAATGCTAAGGTGAACCGCAGGCTATACAGTTTCTCAGAGGCAGCAGCAACAGGAAAAGGCCCCCTGTACCTCTTTCATTAACCAAACTGCAGCGTTATTGCTCTTACTAAACACAATGAGGTAATACTGGTCCGCTAATAAAATTGCATCAGGAGTATTTACAAGGTCTAGTGGCTGCCAGCCAGAGCAAACAAGGCTGTCTTTCAAATCTAGGCCACGACCACTGCTGACAGCGTAATCAGTCATTTTAATGGAGATAAGCTGAAGGATAACTTAATCCCCCTCCCGTCCTCAACATATAGCAAGTACACACCCAGACACTGGCACACATATGCACATATTTGCATGAACAACTGTATTCACAGCCAATAAAGTCATGACACTGAGGAAAAATAGTCCACAATAATGATAGTAGGGGTCTGTTGTCATGGTTGCACGGTAACTATCCAGTAAGAATGAGGCAGCAGGAGCAGACGGAAAGGAAAAAACACAGCGGCTGTTGAACAGGTGTTCAAATTTGTTACAGAAATTAGTGTCTGAAAATCAGTATGTTAGCACTATCCGCCAATGTGATATTAGCTCACTCCAGACCTCCCCGTAACAAATTCTGATTCTGAGCTGTGACCACAGTGTTTAGCTATACAGGAAAATATCCCAACACAAACAGCCACCTAATTTTCGGGGGGGAAAATCCATGTCTCTTCAAGATATAACCCTCAAGCTTACAAGCTTTCAGGCACGTGACTTGGGAATCACAGAGTAATGTGCTTTATAGTTTTAATTTCTATCTCTTTAAGGCCCCAATCATGCAATACAAGCTTAATATATAACATGTACAGAAACAGCTGTTCATAGAAATAGCTCATATACTGCAAGACAATTATAACATGTTAGGTACAGTATGTGCTATCATATGTGCCCAGCTGGCTTGCTCAAGTGAACATTAAAGCGATGCGTATTGTTGTAGCACAAGAAATATTTTTGGTTTAGTTGCAAATCTGATTCTCACCCATCCGAGATAACAGACTAAATTAAGTTTACAGTCAATTTGTTGTGAGGAGTGAGTCATGACTAAATGAACGCTTTTAGCACATTGAGGATTAAGCAAGAGGCAGGGTATATTTGAGAGAGTGGGAGAGAGAGAGAGATTGTCAATCAACTGAAATATGAAAATGCTAGAGAGCAGATTTTGTAAGACTAACACAGGCAATGGTGCTTTGCCTGCTCTGGCCTCAGTGCCCTTGTCCACTAGCCCTTCTCTACTGTCAACTGTCAAACATCCTGTGACCTGTTTATCAAATAGTATCTTTAAGAAAGACCAAAAGAAAAGTTAAATGTTTTTGTTGGTTGAGAAAGGTTAAGGATTTCAGTCTTCTAAAAACATTCAAGAATTGAGAAAAAAACATATCTAAACAATTTTTTGTATAGATCTGTGGTCTACAGATTTGTAAGGCTGCAGTTAGACACAGCAGTGCTTTGAGCTAAATGCTAATGTCAGCACGCACGCACCACATGTTAACGTGTAACAGGTAATGCTTGCTATGTTCACCATTTTAGTTTAACATGTTAGCATGCCAACATTTGCTAATTAGCATTAAACATAAAGTGGAGTTGAAAGAATGGAATTCATGACCTGATAATGGTGCAAGATTAAAAAGTCAGTCTTGGCTATCCCTCCAGTAGTTGCCGCATGTCAGTTGGATTCATCCTCTGGGGACCATGAATGTCCAAAACTTCATAGCAGTCCTTCCTAGAGCTGTTGAGATTTCCATCCGGACCAAAGTGGTGGACCGACAGAGCAACCAGAGGTGATTCTATTGCTGAGCAGAGGTGTGTGTGACATGCATTGCAATAACTAGTCTACTTCCCCACAAATCGATAAACTGCATATGTATAGTGTTAAACACTTGCAGTGTACGGCACATGCCACATCAAAATCCCTCATCACTCAAGCTTTTTGACAGACTATCTACAGATCAATGCGGTTACATAGATTAAGTCACTTCATCACACATCTCTTTGTCTCTGCCTGAGTGACATCCAGCTAATCTGTGTCTGTGCAGGGG